AAATTCTGGTTAGTAAGAAAATCGTTGGGATAAGACAACATTTATCGAATACCTATGAAAATATATCCAGCAATCTTATTGTCATTTATTTGACATTGTGTCATGTCAAATTTGATATGAATCAGTTAGATTGGTGTGTTTTGAAATACGCATTTGTAGAATCGACAATTTAACACTAACACTACAAATAATTTGTGCATTATGGTCTAGTAGAGTGTCAAACCTCGAATAGTTAGCATGGCGGTAGCTGAATTCTATATGTAGGTAATCGACGAAGTGTCATGCTGTCTGACTGCTAACTGATGTTCAAATAGGAAAAGTGGACGCCCATTTTAGCTTTGTTAATGACTTTTATAAACTTTTACAAACAACTACGGAAATATATTTAATTAGAACAATGTTGAAATACAGGGGAGAAAGCAGAAAGAAAATCAGAAAATTTCTCAAAGCTTGATTCTCAAGTCAATTAGATGTGGCTGCGTTAAGTTTGAAGTACGGCTGTACTGTCTCTTGACTCCATTTTAGACGAATGATCCGATAAACGATGAATTAAATAAGAAGCCTCATACGGATTTTCGGACGAATGTATTTCATGCACACAATCCAAGCGAAGGAATTTGTAGAAAGTGATTGAGCCAACTCATTCACTGAAGCATGACTAAGTAATAATAGGCGGGCAACAATAGGCAAAACATGTAATAAGAGAGTTAGCAAGCGCATACACAACCTAAAATACCATCGTCGATGTTGTTGTCGAATTATCAAAAGTAAAAATATGGTCCACACGTTTATCAAATAATTTAAACGACTAAATTAATAAAGTTAATAAAATTAATAAATAGTGAGGTGCTGCAAGCTATCGACAAACACATAGACACTGAAACAGTTTATCAAGCAATCAGAAAAATAACAGACAAACATAGCATCAAGAAACAGATCAAAGGGGGATATAGTCAAAGTAAAAAACAGACAACGACAGGTTTCAGGTTAATAGCAACCAATCAAAAATGAGGTTAACAGAATAAGCTATGGGTCATATATGTAGAGGTTCGTATACATCATCTCTGTCTGAATTTAGTGCTTATGATGTTTCAGAAGGACATAAAAGCCCATAACTAAACATCCAGCTCACAATCATCAACCTGAGTTACAAATTCTTTCGACTACCTCATGAAACCAAGTGATAGTACTTAACTCTCTTTAAACAACATCTTGTAATAGAACTTCATATCTTCTACTCAATGTGAGACAAACGTCACTTTGAAGTACATTCCTCACTGAAAATTATTATTCTGATGGAAATGATTGTCACTGGAAATCGCAAGAACAGTAGGGGAAAGAAGGAAAAATTGAGAAGTCATCTGTTTGTGTTTCAGACTGCATTTTACCTAAATCAGAGTACCGACTTGCTAATGTTTCATATTTCTACCTGACATCATATTTCCAGTCAGTTGTTCATACCAATATTTAAATCTGCTGTTTACATTAATTATAAGCTAATGAGAAATTATCAATCTATCAGCGTTAGACCAACATTAGAAACCTGGAAGCACTGGACGGCCGTTTCGTCCTGGTTTGGGACTCGTCAGCAGTGTGCGTCCACGACTGCTGCATCTCTCAGGATTCGAACCAAGACTTTCGGTCTTGTTAGATAACGGCTCGGTTGTCTAGAGGCTAGGCGTTCGCGCACAATACCGGAGGTCTCCGGTTCGAATCCTGTAAGGCACAGGAGTCGTGGATGCTCGCTGCTGATGAGTCCCACACCAGGTCGAAATGGACGTCCAGTGCTTCCAGGTTTCTAGTGGTGGTCTAACGATGATTGATTGATGATTTCAAATGTGTGAAAACGCTAATCTCCATAACTCTAATTGAAAATAATGAGAAATTGATACACTATTCGTAATCCACGTAGGAATTTCAAGTGTTATGTCTTATGCACATAGGATGTGTTATCCTTCGAATGAATATCACCTTTTATACGCACAGTTGGAATACTGGTAACTGTTCAAAAATCACTTACTTTGTTTTCAACTGCACCAGGAATAACTTGTCTTGATAAACAACACAGTTGATTTACAATGGATGATGAGTTTTCTACTCCACATGGTAACACAAAGGGTTCTTCATCATCCAACTGTTCTTCACTAAAAGCTGTAACGCAAACGTTATTCAAACATTATTTATTTTTCAGAAATAAACATAATTTAAATGTTTTGTTTCAAGACAACTGTACAGGTTACATTTGTACTACATATATTTACAGTACTCAGAAAAATATTTAGTGAGAAAAATTCCTTTTCGTTAGTTAGTTTTTAAAGCTTTACAAACTCAGTAATACAAACGTCTTAGCTCGTGCTTCACAGTTTATAATAGTGTAAAACAAACAGTAACGTTGCTATGACGCTGTGTAAGTTTAGGTGTATCAATAAATGAAACTAGATTTATTGTATTCTAATTCCTCTTGACACACCTATCAAGAACGTTTCAGCATCAACTTGTAAACTATTCAGAAATAAATTTACAACTAGCACTGTAATCAATTCAACTCAAGTTTAATCAATTCTAATTTATAGGTTGTGATACAAAATACGTATATTTCATATCAATAAAAATACAATTGGCCAAATATGATCAAACAATATATTCTGTTGAATTTCTTATGAAGAACAAATTTCCACTCGTACAGTTTTCCTTTCTTATGAGTAATTTAGAAAAATCCCATTGGTATCAGCACTTAAATAATTGTTGGCTACAAACTATTGAATAGTCTATCATACTCAGTTTAGACGTATTCGGTAACAAAGAAGAAACAACTCATATACACAACATTAACATCAGTAAGTTAGTCATGTGTTAAGAAAAGCGAAATCAGGAAACGTCAACTGTGTGTATCCAATTCAGAATATTCAGTTTTATTAGTTGTAGAATTATACAAGATAAAAAACAGTAAAAGCTACCATAAGATATTAATTGACGACCGATAAGCCAACCAAGGATCCCATATTTTTCAGATGTTGAATGTTGAGCATGCAAGAAAGGTGGATGCAACATCGCAGCAGACATACTCATGGTACCAGTATCATCAAAACCAGATGCATATGGTATGAAAGTGAAGATCCCATTTCTAATCATGTGTAAATATGAAACGAACATCAATAAGATCATTGAAATTGATGAACATTTTATTCACAAGAAATGGATGGATGACTAAATCTGTCATCGAACTAATTTGTTGTAAGTATTTTCAGTTACGAATCCTTGAAAAATCACTATATATTGTGCATATTCTGTTCCATAGATAAGGCTTTACCTACAGTTACCGAACAGGAGAAATTCGAACCGCATACCCTTGATATAATGATCAGATTTATTGAAACCATGTTTTTTGAATGAATCGACATCATTTCACGGTTTTAGAAATCCTTAGTCCAGTTTAAGAAATCAACAATAAGCTCTGTTAGCATGCTTCTTTCCATATAAATATTTGAGATTAACCTCCTACTGACGATTGGTGGTATAAGAGTAAAACACAAAGGAAGCATATTCACCAGTAAATGAATATATCTAGAAACCTAATTTTTGATCCGAATCGCTACATCAGTTTCGCATGTTCTTTATCTATTATTTCGTAAATGATCGGAAGAAACTCTGAGATTATGGCTTTGAACTCTTTTATTATAGATAAGCCCTCCTAAATGAAAAAGAAACATCAAGGCAGATCATCAAGTAGAATCAATTATGTCACTCATTTCAAAGTGAATTAATAATTTAATAATTTAATAATAATTTACAATATTACATGTAAATCACGTTTTAAACAGTATTTCTCCTATGAATATAAGATTTATTGTGTTTGAATACCAAGGTTATTTAAAGTCACTTAATAAATATAACTAAATGATACAACTCACAAGTCAACGTCATTCAAAATAGCATGCATTGATCTAAGAAATTCAGTCTTTTGGGAATAGTACACATTCAAGTAATGGTTGTTGTCGGAAAAATTATTCTGAAACATAAATAAAATGACTTTACAAACTGTTTTCATAGTCACCGATTTGTTACTGGAAGGAAAGTGTCAGAAATCTAATTGTCCAAACGTTCGAAACTGTTGACTGATATTTCAGCCAGTGCGGATGTTTGGTACCTGTGATCCACTTGTAGCTACACAAACTTACGGCGACTAATCCACTGTTCAAAACATGCTGATATCAGTCGAACATTCTAGAAAAAGACACTTATCAAGGAATAATTATTATCCTGTCCGTAAATATGTTATGTATATTACTACCAAACTCGACACTGTTTTGTGATAGACTACCAGTCGGTGAAGATGCATGAACCTGAATATTATGTCTGAAATAAAATAAGAATAATGTATTTGCTAATGCCCTTCATGAAGTCAAAGTGAACATAGATTCTACCAGATTCTCTCATTTCAATATCAGTGAGACCGATAGGGTGGAATCGGAAAGGAAGGTTCAGGATTAAGTAGGTTGAGGGATGCTGGTAATCAGCGTATCATCTTTTAAGGTTACCAGGCTCAAGTAAATAAGTAAGTAATGTCAATGAGAATTGCATTTAACTGACATTTCACAGAAGAAATTTCGAAGTCTCATGAAACTGACCTAGTTGGTCACTTTTCTTTCCCGTTATTCTATACACCACTATTTTTGAACTGCATTAAAAATTCAGGAAGCAATTGCTCGGCTGGTTTATATAGTGTTAGAATTTCATTGGTTTTGGTTTGCCCACTCTCATAAATAATTGTGAACTTTTGTAATCTAACTACATAAATGCAACTGTGGTTGCCTTTGTTTGGTCATCCTTTAATCATGTACACTAAAACATTTATTAAGTAAAATCATTGATCATTAGGTCAGTAATTCATAAACAATTTCATTGTTACACTTAAAGAACGTACGTTGAATATTAAATCTCGATTATCTTCGTCTTTTTTGCTCAACATCTTTGAAGTCATTAGGAATAAACTAGATCCATCAACCTAAATAATGCATTGAGTTAATATTTACATAATTTATAAAACATAGACAAACCAAATCAACACTTCTATTTCTGTCATCTTCATTGTACCATAAATTTGGTGACCATGATTTAGTGAATGTTTCCTTTAATTCTTTGAACATTTCATAAATCTATACAATATAAACAGATAAACCGATCAAACAGACTACCGAAACAATGAAAATCAATCATTAGTTCTAATATCTAGTAAATTTTTCTCGAGTTAGTATAAATCAGATTATTCCTTTGCGCTTGATTCTTGTTCTTTCGGTATGGTTCCAGGTGTATGGTTGTGTCCAATGGGTGGTTATTTTAGATTACTACAATAATGACCAGTAATAGGAAGAATCACAAATAAATTTAACATATCCTTTCACTGTTATAATTCCAGAATTACCCTGCTCTACTAATACTTTATACAGAAATATGTTTATACATTTCAACAACACGTAAAGAGTAATTTTTCAGATGTAAAACTTACCTCGTTTATCACAGTTTCACTTATATCTGAATATTCATGATACTGGTTTAGTGTCCACTTGAAATGTTTCGTCACTTCGTCAATACAAGTTGAGAAATCTTCATTCAAGACTTTGTGAAATGAGATTCATATATTGTTACAGATACGTCAAATAATATTAAAAAAACAGATTTATTCAAAGGTTTAAATTCAGATTCATTAAATACTCAACAATCAACAAACTATTTTGATTTCAAACCACAGTGATCACAGTGATCTTAATTGGTATACTGCATTGAGACAACGTTTTCCATTTTAATCACTGTAGAAAGCAAAGAGCAATCTGACTAACTGAGGCATAAAAAATTAGTATTTACAATTAGTGTTTACATGAACTGCATTATACCTCAAATGTGAATCTATAGTGCTAGTTTATTTGTAGTTTATTATACATATTGCTTAACCAGCTTTCCCAATTTTTTGTCCAGAATCGACTTTCCATAATGTATCGTAATACGGCAAACACATATCATGTTCAGTGTATCATCATTGAACTGAACATTCATTTCAGGTATATTTCAATGTGTATATCAATGTTTCTTTTATTTAAAAACTCCAACAAATATATATATATATATAACAATGAAACTAAAACAAATAAAAAATTCACTATATTTATTTGGCAATCATACTCACAGTTATCAGAAGGATAAAACTCTTCGAAATCTTTATTTATGGTACTTCTCATATTGTACAAAAAACTAATCACAATCATATTGTGTATTTTTCTAAAAACAAAAGATTCGGAAAACCATGTGTTTCAGCAAAAGTCAGTCAAAACTCAATTCAAAATTCACAGTAAAGATCAGTTTTATTATCATTAGGACTGTAGCTTTGAATCGAATAGTCGACCCTCACAAGTCAAATTATTTCATGTAGTGGAAGGTAGAGGTAATGATTATGTATTATTTATTCGATCCGGTGTTTGTGTATTAGTGAATCCTAGGTTTATGATTAGCCTGCGCCCACAGAGTTTTTGACACCGGCTATAATTCACAACATTTCGGGTTAGGTAATAAAAGTTAATCTGAAGTCCTGCGTTCGGTTTTTTACAATACGCTTTGAGTTCTCATTACAAAAAGATATCCGCTATGATCCAATGCTGTCTTGTTCTAGTGTTTGCAAACAAAATGAACTTTTGGTTGATATATCGAGTTAAAGTGAGAAGGAATGTGTTTTATCTCCATTAAATAAACACTCTTGACAATGCATCGAATCATAAAAAGAACTATTAACCAACAATTTTATTTCTGAGAGAGCAATTATTGTTTTATGATTCAGCATAAGAATCATCCTAAATGCATTCATCACGGAAATTCTTCTTCACTGTGGGGCATTTTAGAAAGCATATATTGCCAAATCTTACTTCTTTATAAATAACATATCATTATTTATTTATCGCCGGACTTGACATTTTACCCAACATACATGTGCTGTTCTCTTAATTCTGATTGGTTCACTCACGGTTCTCAGTACATTATACTTTTACCTTTGCATATTAAGTACGTTGACGTGGAATGTAGTGTACAAAATAAATATTCTTCAAGTATTTTCTTCTGCAAAATGTCATTCTAATGACTTCGACATGGAATCAATTTACACAATAAATTGTGTGCAAATTAAATTGATGACCTAAGGTATTTCAACTAAACTGATTAAGCAATCTGATCATTCTGTCAACACAAATATTCTTGGCGGATTCTTAAACAGAACTAAGACTACAGGCAGATAAACCTCTGAACATAATTATAGACGTTCATTTTACGTGATAAATTCAGAAAAACAATTTGTGATATGAGATAAAAGTCATGTCAAACGATTATTTTGATTTCTTAAAAAAACAACGTTATTCTCTACTTTTATACTTAAAGTGTATCATGGTCATGAAATATGTTTATTATTACAATAGTTTGAAGTAGTATGAAATTATCTACAGGTTGCAAGTAACTGTGAACTGTATGTTTCCGCATCACAAAATTAAAATTATTGGGGATTTTTATTGTTCGGAAATTCTCCTCTCCGACAGATGCTAAATGGATATGTTTATAATTGTGTTGAGTACTGGATACTTGAAAAGAATGCAACATCTGCATATATCTTTAATAACAGCCTATGAATAAAGTTTTCAAAATAAATTTTACGTTTCATTAGATACAGATTTTGTCACATATCTGAGTAAAAAGGAATACATAAAGTCAGACAACCAAAGATCTGATTTAGCTGGTTATGTTCTTAAAATATGCAACATATGCAAATGAATTAGCTCTGCCCTAGAAACATCGAGATATAACATTCTCTGTCTAGCGAAACAGATAATCCTCCGAAAAAAGTATACATTATGCGTTTATTATACTAATTAAGTTACCTCGAATGTCATGCATATAAACAAGGCCAAGGATATGTAGATAAAATGGAATGGCATAGCTTTTATTGAAATAATTCATTTGGAAAAGCATAAAACTCAATTTTGAGAAAAATACCTTATTCCATCAGATGTTCTCATGGCTGAACTGAATATATCACAACTTTTCTGCAAGAAAGGTAGATTTTCTATATGAATACTCAAATTCATGTATGAATTGGCCTTGAGTTCATGGAATACTTTTTCAAATAAAACAGCCCAATCGATCTGTTCGAAATAAATAATTTGAAGTAAATTTTGAAATTTAAGAAAATAAATTATGCCATATATTATCAGTTTCCTAAGCATTTCTACTATCTCTCACTATTATTATGTTCTCATAAATAGTTAGAAACGCTGATCCTATTGTTAATTTTTATCGGTTAACATGAAACTAATTTACTCGCTTTTACAGACCACTAAGTGCTCCTGAATGTCAGTACAGTATTTGTTTACAAAAACTCTGGACATAAATAGATATCTCGTGCAACTGACGCCTTTGTATAAATAACTTGTATATCAAATCTAAACTACAGGAATATCACTAATAGTTTCTACGTTCTTTGAGTAACTATAAAAACGTCCCTCTCACACAGAGAGAGGTGATCGAGAAGAATCTTTATATCATAATACGATTAGTAAAGTTTACCAAAATCTAATTTCAACTTGGACGTCAATTAATCCTATCTTCAAGCATTTGAAATAGTCATGGATGTATAACCCTTTTTTTCAAACATTTGATATGTAGTGAACAATGCACTGATCGTTATACAAGGGGTTACATCGTATTATTTTATAGTAATTTAAATAATCAACTTACTATGGAACAGATTTCTTGTAGACGTTCTATTGTTACAATTGCTTCAGTTTGCTCTTCTATGTTTTCCTAAAGAAAGAAAATATGTAAATGAAATTAACATAGTCAGCTATATGATGCACAGTAATTAAATGTAATGCAATATTATCTTTCGCTAACAACCTCAAGTTTTCCGAAACCATTGGAACTAGTGATATATATCTATGCATCTGAAGAAAATGCAACAGTTTTACAGCTGCTTATCTTAGCAAACAGTTATCATATATTTTCATAGTTAGTGAAAAATATCATCATTCACATCGTTCGCAAATTGGACATTGAATTTTTAAGCATTCACACTGTTGTGGAAGATCTGTATCAGCAGTTTCATCGAATGCTTTCTCATAATAATCTCTCATTAACGACTCGATGATATTCAGCTGTATAAAAATGAAGATTTATTTCAAGTAACTAAACTATTGGATTGTGTCAATATTGAAAATAATATGATGAAACCATCATTAACGTTAGCTTCACTTATGCTTATTTAAAAAATTAAAATGTTTGTTCCATGCTACACGTAAAATGTGATTGATATTTTCTAACATTTTGAGGCCATTTTGTTACTGCTATCAACTAAAATATCTTTTGGAATGCATAATGTATCAACTATCACGTTCACAAAGAAAGATTCATTCTTCTGCACATTTGACATCAGAGGGTAAGTTTATGATTATAAAACATAGGTTAGTAAATCAGCTCAGTGTAAGTTACTAAAATAGTAAATCTAGCGAAGCTATTGATTATCCGGCATGGTTTAATTTTTTTCTAATGGTTCGCAATCTATGTACAAAATGGATTGTAAAATAACTTCGAATCAATATTGACCAACCTCTTCCGTTTTACTGACCGATTCAATTTGCGAAGACATTTCTAAAACATCTCGAATCATACTTATATTATTTTGATGGGCTCCAACGATCTTCAAAAATTTTAAAATTTGTTCTTCGGCTGCTTCTTCTGTATTATCGGTCTATCGGTTATGAAGAGAGGATGAAAAGACGTTTTTTCTGATCGAACACCAAATATGTTGTAAAACATTATTGTGATTGATTGGAATAATTAAAACAGTGAACTGTAAAAGCATCTATTCTGAGATAAAAACTTGCTGAATCTTTCCCAGTGCAGAACGTATACATGCGATAGTGTAAAAACAAAGATGTTTACTCTGGTCTTCATGATAGAGAAGAATAATTAGATAAGACGTACAAGAGGTTACCGTGAATCCAGTCCAATTGACCACCTCAAAACTTTCTATCATGATAGAAAGACTGAACACTGATTTCAGAACGCAGAACACCGTATTTAAGTGCGTGATGAGATGATATGAATTAATGGAAATCTACAATAATGGAGAGGGGTCAGTGACTTTTTTTTTGTTAATGACATGTTTAGAAATGTCAGGATCCGTCCTAAGAAACGCATGCACAGCGCTACATGAATCTTGTCAAACCACACTACAGAAAGTCAAACAAACCACTTCTACATAAAATAAATTCAGAATGTCGATTCAGGATTGAGAATCAAGATAACTACGGATCATCACATGCTGCTCACCAGTAAAATATGATTAAACTCACGATAAAGTAACCTTGCATTATAGACAGGTCGTGCCATAAAATCATGTCCTAGGTCTTCGCATGATTAAGGCAGAATATTCACTGAGGCGTCTTTGGCCCTTTAGAGTACTTGCGAAGCTCGTCGATATGACACAGTACCACAATGACGGACTGAATTAAGGCGTTGTCCATTGAGAGCAGCTCTTTGATGCATTCTAGGTGAAAAAAGGTGTCAGGAAAGACAGAAAAATCCAACCACTTCTCTTCCTGATAGTCACTAAGTAGATTACGAAAATCTTCACATCTCAAGAAACGCACAGAAGACAATGCACTCTTAGGAGAAAGTTCGATAATTTCGACTACTGGAGATGATTTACCTAAACTTTCACATACAAAGCGATGACTAAGGGAGCAGTTGACGAGTAATGCGGTGGTATTAACAACCGCAAGTGAGAAAGAAAGACTCAGAAGTGAAGCACAGAGATTAGCAGCCAAATAACACCTGCAGACGAAACTGTGAAAGGGATGGAGACTTTCACGTACCTGCTGAGGATCACTGAAAAACAGAGTGGATCTAATACAGTTAGGAAGCATCAGTTCGCAGAGCAAGAGAACGTTTAAACAATTTCAGCAGAAATGAAGAATTGTTACACCATACGAAAGTCAGAACAGAGAAAATACTTATAAACCTATTACAACCATCATCAAAGTGCACAAGTATTTATAAGCAACTGTCTTTGAAAGATATTCCAGGTTTCTCGCCAGGAAACCATCAGCGAAAGCCCAGTTTAGTAGAGAGCGAACCAACTGATGATGAGGAGAAGATCAGTAAAAGATTCAAGAGATGGACGGGGCATGCTAAAAGGAAACCATAAGGTTACATCTTCAATTAAGTCTGAACATGGAATCTTAAGGTCAAAGAAAAAAGCTGCAGAGTAACAGACACCAAGGTTCCAGAAATAAAAGGCATATATCGAGATCCTGAGTACAACTCAGTATAAACTGGAAAGAAGAGAGTACGATAATACGTGGCACGAATAAGGTGGGAAGCTGTTCAAATTATAACCTCAATAATAATAGATTCAGAATTTTCTTACTAAAATTATTACATGGATTTCTTTAAACTCTGCCAAATGATCAAAACTAATTTCATAACCGGTTCCTTGTGCTGGAGACCACAAATTACAACCTATAACAATTTCTTAATATTTTTCCTGTTACTGTGAAAAATGTTTATCAATAATTTTATTGTAATCGTACCATATCTAAAGGTCTACTGTTGAACGCCTCAAGCGATCCTTTGGTAATCTGAAAGAACAAAGTTACATTTACCTTTTACAATAGTTCAAATGAAATTTGGCATGAGTAAAAGTTAATGCCTGAGATCAACAGGCGTTCATTTTTGAAACATTTCCATATACGTTATACACTGACAGTTCTATTTTCTTTTTATGAAGAAGATAAATGTATTCACATCGATTAAAGTAAACCTCGGTTGTACTATAAAATAATATTGTCTTTAAAAACGAGGTGCACAGATTTTGATTTTCAACACATGAATTTCGTTCTGTAGTTTGAAATCACATCTGTTCTTCAAAGATACGTATCATTAGGCAATAAAATTGCAAGAATAATCACCAAATTACACCTACCTAATAGTCACAAGAACAATGAACTTATATATGTAAACATCACAGAGTCCCATAGCTTAACCAGTGAGTCGAATCAATGACAAACTCTCCCCGGTAAATCATAAATCTCTGAAGATTTATTCAACGTTTACTCACATAGAGCAAAATCTGTTTTGTCATTTTAATGGATTTCAATGAAACTACAAGTGGATATCACTTTTACAATCTACAATTGACTAATCTTTAATGTGCCTATGTATCAAAAACCTGACACTGTTTTACTTTAAGGACCACACAGTTACTGTCAAATTATTTCTTCATACACCGTTGAGACGACTTAATGAAGATTGAAATTGAGTGTAGAACAAATGATTCAACACATATACACGAATACGTAATTATATTCTACTGTGTAGCTACCTAGCCGTGACATATTCGAGAAATCCTAACAACAATATTAGTTCGTACGTAACTACATCATGATGCCGTAGCTTAAGCAGCCAGTCGACTCAATGACAATATGTCCTTGGTCAAATCAAGGTTGCTTAATTGTCAGACATTTTTGTCGTTTACTGATCATTCTACTGGTTTTCAATGGAACCTCAAAATATAACGTTTGTATCATAATATGGTATTCAAATCATATATTGAGAACACACATATACATATTAATAACTAAGACATATTTCGTTCAGAAACTTACATATAAATATGGTTCCAAGTTATCGTCCTCTTGTGGAAGTAGCTCAATCGAAAATAAGGGTGTAATTCCATTCTGGAATATCAGTGGTAAAATGAAACTGGTAAGATTGAATTTATTCTTATCAAGAACGCCGTTTTCCATATTGAGGATCTCAGTTTGATCTGATGACACTAGTCCTGCTTTGAACAATAATAATAACATTTCATGAAGTTTCTCCTTCTTTAACGATTTAGATACACTGATGGCATTTGTGCAAGTTGTGTAGTAATCTTTAGCTATTTTAATACTTGACTCATTTGCATACTTGATATTTTCCACTTGAAACAAAAGAAAATAATAAACTGACAATGTCAAATAAGTTTGAGAAACAGCTATTTATTAAGTGCATGTTTACATTCAAAAATGTTTGCTTCACGGTTCTACATGAAAATTCAATTTAAACGGCACCACTTAATAACATCATAGAAACGCAAGTTGAAAATCGATTTGATTTCAGTTCATGTAACCTAAGCATACAACTTTGAATAATTCATTATTTCTGTGTAAGATACATCTTGGCTGACGAAGCAGTAAATAAATAGTCAAACGATAATGATTGCATTGAGACGTTTTACTTAAGTGAACAGAGGTTACGCTGAATAAACACATACATTGTTGCCCAGTAGGGATTACACGTCTCTCAACAGCTTAATCAAAACAATTAGAAAGTAAAAAACAGACAGCCTTTCAACTTTTCCACTTTTAGCTAATTAAACATAATATTCCTTAACATTTTTGAGCACAAACATAAGTGTAAATAATATTTGCTTGGATGGATAATCAGTGGTTTGGTTAATGATTCAGTTAATGAATTTTATTTGCTGAGCCACTGCTTCATCAAACAATTAAGGACAACAGCAAATTATTTGGTAGATTTTAGCTACCGAACAGTCTTGAACATTCTGTCTCTAATGAATAGGGAGATAAGTAGTGTTTACTTGCTGGTTTTGATTACGTTAAGGAAACATTTTAAACTACTTTACTTTCTTAATAGAACTAACAATTTTCAGCATTGAACACTTGATGAAGACAACAATATGTTTGAATAAATTATTAGACTTTATTTGCATTGTAATTTTACATGAATTGTCAATGTTTTATGAAACCTGAAGTCAAATATGAGAAAAATTAAGTTTTTTGAGTTCGAAATGACGGGATCTTGATTCCATCAACTTTATGACGCTATTAAAACTGCAACTGAAAACCATTAT